GGGGCAGTGGTTCTGCATTCTTCACTGTAATCGCATTAAGACCCCTATAGTCTATACACATCCGCAACTCTCCCTCTTTCTTGGGGACAAAAAGATCTGGTGCTCCGAAAGGAGACGAACTGGGCCTAATCCAACCCTTCTCGAGAAGCTCGTCTAACTGCTTGCGCAGCTCCTCTAACTCCCTTGGGGACATTCTGTAAATTGCTCCCTTAGGAGTCCTACTGCCAGGCTCTATCTCTATCCGATGCTGGATCGGTCGCGACACTACTCCTGTTGGAGGCTCGGTTAAATCCTCAAACTTTTCCAGCAGCTTGGCGATGGTTGGATCCATGGGGTTGTCCTCTTTAGGCTCAGTGACAGGTCTAATAGAAGCTACGAAGACCTGATCCTCTAACTGCTCCTTTCTCGCCAATCGCGCGAACGCGGGAGCACTGAGACAGCAATGCGCCAGTGAGTTATCTACTCCTGACACATGAAACAGGTGGGTTGTCTTAACCTGGCGTGACGGACTAGGGAGCCTACACTCATGCTCTCTCCAATGGAATGTGGCCCCTGCTGCCTCTCCCCAGTCCATTCCTAGGACTATGTCAAATGGGAGGTTGTCTTCTACGAGGAGAGTCAAGGAATGGAGGACCTTCTCTACCTTTTCATCCTGCTCTAGGCGAAAATATGCCTGGACTCCCTCTACATATTCCTCGATTCGCATTGTGCGATTGTCTGCGAGGATACTAACAATAGGGTCTTCTAACTTCTGAACTTTCAACCCCAACTTCAACTTCTGCAGCGCCTTCCTACTAATATAGCTGCGCGTGGCCCCACTATCTATAAGGGCCCCTACTCTGCCTCTAAAAATCTCTACATCCACTAATACTAGTTGTCCCTTTGCCTCTTTCTTCCTCTTGGCCCAGGCGGGCATCCTCTCCTTCAACTCCTCTGCCACGCCTGTGAGGGAGGTGCCTAGAGAGACTCTAACACAAGCAGTCTCCGGACAGCTATCTAGGCACCGGCCAGCAACCTTTGCCATGGGCTCATGCAATTTGGGAGTTTCTCTTTGTTGTGCGCGCTCTTCCCTGCATGGCCCTGGGATAGGGGCAATTGCCACCCCTATCGGCGGTTGCCTTTTGCTGCTCGGGCTTCCCTATATTTGGGTAGTACTTTATGATATGACCAGGGTCACCGCAGTAAATGCACTGATCCCGGTCAATCCTCTGCTGCCAAACATTCTGTTCCAAGCCCAAGTCTTCCCACGGTGTGGCAACCCAGGATGCCATCCTCCTCTTCCATATGATGACCGATTATAGCTAGAGCGGTTTTGCGGGGGACCTTGACCCCTACCTCCCGCTTGGTGGTTACCTCTGCCGCCAACCCCCTGATCGCCCTGCCCTCGACCACCTAGCCCCCTTGCCCCGGCCTCCTCCTCTTCCTTGCGGCCTCCCTCCAGTCGCGACAGCAGCGTAAGTCCTCCCCTGGCTTGCACTACTGTCCCGCTCTTCCTCTTCAAGCCCCCACTCTATCTGATCGTAGGGGACTTCTTCCATGCCGCCCTCATCTAAGGTTAGGATCAGGTGATCCTTGCCCTTGACCTGTCCTGAAATGGTGCGGCCTTTCCACTTCTTCCCCTTATCTAAGTCCTTATGCCAGAAAGTGGTAACTGGAATGGACTGCGCTTCAAATGCCACGACTTCCCTACTTAACGTATCATAGGTCATGGCAGGATCCCGACTCTTCTAAAAAAAGTGCCCGCGTAAAGACTCGGGCATGGCACGATAGAACAGATTGACCAACTGGGTCTATGTGACCCCATGGTCTGGGACGGCGACCAGCTCATCCATCACACCTTGAGTGCCCTTGCACTCTTCCAGTGGCGAGTGTGGATGGTTTGCAGCTTTTCAGAAGCTCTAACGCTTCGTGTGACATCTGCAAACCTTTCGCGCAGTTACTTGAAGAAGTCGTTCAGGGGTGTACACTGAGAGTATGCGACCATGTCGTTATTGCAGTTGGCTGCACGACAGAGTGATCTCGCAAAACTGGCAGCTCCATCCTTAAGAGCGTGGAAGGCGATGAGGACCTGTTCCTCAGGGGAAATCATCTGTAAGTGAACATATGAGTTCACATTCGCCTCCCAGTTATCGAAGTTCTCCTCCCTCTTCCCACTATATGGATCAGGGAACTTCACCTTTACTGGCTCTCTACGGGGACGCCGTTCTTCCTCCTTAGGCGCAGCTAACTTGGCACCTTCAATGGCGCCAGTGCATAACCGCTCTGTGTTTTCTAGTCTAGCTTTCATCTCCGTGGCTACATGGACCATCATGTCCCTTGCGAACTCTCGAAAGCCTAGACGGATCGATCGCAACGTGATGTCCTGGCTTCTGGCAAAGAACTGTTGCTCGTCAACGGCCTTTGCCAGGCGTTCTATATTCCTAGCCATTACATCCATCTTCCCCTGTATATCTGCCTGCGCTTCTAGCTGAGCTCTCTGTTATTTGACTTCTTCTAATTCTCTCGCCACCTTCTCAGCTTCCTCCATCCTCCTCTTGTTCTCCCTAATCAGACGTAATCTCCATTCCAACTTCTTCTCCTCCACTATCATCTGACTTTTAAGAGGATCTGCTTCGGCCTCTATCTTCTTTATCACCGTCTCTTGTTCGTCTAGGGGAACGTATAGCATCGCCTCCTCAGTTTCCCCCAGTGACAAGTTGGCAACCCACTCAGTCACCTTCTTCTCTATCCATGGGTCCCCCTTCGTGCCACTAGATTCCCCCTTTTCTCTCACTGACCTTCTTATCGGGGGAATCTCTTCTGCTTCTGCCTGCTTCTCCTTCTCTTCCTCCACCTCTTCTGTGTCCACAACCTTCATCTTTTCTTCCTCCTCCTTCTTCACTCTCTCCATCTCTTCCTGTAACTTATTCATTTTGGCGGCTTGCTCCTGCTGCAGGGCAATCTTCGTAGCCTGCTTGACCAACTCCTTCTCCTCCTTCCTGGCCTTCTGCTCAGCCAGAATTTTCGCTGCCTCCTCCTCCTGCGCCTGGGTGTAAGGAGTGGTGCCCACACCACTCCTCGTCTCTACTCTACACGCAATCGTGTGCCAGAATCCCAGTGGAAAGAGAAGACGCCAGAGGGTCCCCCAGAGGGAGAACCCCATGAGCAAGCCGTACATCGGGTAGTCGTCCATGGTGTCCAGGTGCACGACAAAACTGTCCTACTCCTCACCACTTAGACCTACCCACTCAACTGACTGACTGACTCTCTACGGACCACAAAATCTCACCCCTTCGATCCAGCCAGGTTACCACGGCCGACGGAAGCTTTTGCCACCACTGTCCTTTACAAACCAGACCTAGATGCCCAGCACCTGCGGTCAATCCCACCTGGCTTTCACTCTGGTTCAGACTCTGTCAGCTATGGTCTCTAGCCTAGACCTACTTCTAAGCTGTCACTACAGGACTTCTTCGTTGATCACGAGGCATTTAAGGAGATCCCCCATAACTCCTCAAGAATTGTTTAACGTCGCAGACAGGACGACGCGATCAGCAAATCCTCTCAACACTTAGACAGCTGGTTGTGCAGCCCACAGCTCGGATTTTGGGCCGCCCGTGCCACACCGTTCAGCCCGCCGGTCAGTACCGGTCCTTGGGAGGGTTTGTCCTCCGGGACGTGTCGGTCG